GCTCTTTGTCCATTGCCACTGCTCTAAATTACAAAAATAAATAATGCAACTTAAAATAATGACCTAGTACAGACAAATAAGTGAATAAATCAGAATGTTAGAGCAGATCAAGAGTAGCATAAATTATTCAGATAGCTAAATCATTCATTTTAACCTTTTGTTAACTGGAGACTTTACATGATATGCCTTAAGATCAACTATATGGTTTTAAATATTTCTACTTTATCTCTTTCATAACTGTACAAGTTATATTTTACAATCCTGAGAGATGATAAAATTTTCAGAACAAAATAAAGACAAATATCAATGGGAGTATCCAAATCAGATTGTTTCTAGAAATAATGGACAGAATTCTATCAATAATTGTATTAGCTAACTTTTTTTTTTATTGTTAGGCCAGGCACCATATAGTCCATCATTAGTTTTTGATGTAGTGTTCATGATTCACTGTTTGTGTATAACCCCCAGTGCTCCATGCAATAGGTGCCCTCCTTAATATACAGTAGCTAACTTTATATAGTACCTACCATCAACAAAGTAACACTATTTCAAATGACTCACTGAAGAAATGAAGACATCTAGAGGTCTACTAAATAGCTTTACATCCCATAGTTACTAAGTAGTGAAGTTGGAATTTGAACACAAAGTGAGTTATCATTCTTTAGTATCCTTGGAAGTACCTAAGTCATGAAATCTGATCTGTTTTAGCCTTAGCATAAATAATAATCATTGTGGAAAACCCATTTTACCCAGTTGCCCAAAGAAAGTGACAAGATTGTCAATCATTTGTTAAATAAAAACATAATGATGATTAATCACGTGAATATCTTAAAAAGATAGTCTATTATTATAAGCCAAAGTACTATTATTATCTATATAAAGTGAATAGTCCAGTATTTGTAGTCATACTAACTATAAGCTAACTTGATGACAGAGGCTGTGCTTTGTTCACTCCTGTATCTCCAACACTTGGGAAAATGTATAAAGTAGGTACTCAACAGCAACTATTAGATAAAAAATAAAGAATAAATAAATGAAAGAATTTCCAAAATAGTACCAAAACTTAAAGGAAATAAATCCAGATAATGTAGTAAGCATAAAATATCTAGGAGGTACAAATTATAAGCATCCATTTTGTAGTAAGATCCTTTATAAACAAAATGAATATAATTCTATTCCTTTAGCTGAGCTTTTATACTTATGGCTATTATCCGTTTCAACTTTGCTTTTACTTTTTCTATCTAAGGATAGTTGTCTTAAATAATTAAATTCTCCTACCCTGTTTAATTTTAGCATCTGAAGAACAACTTTGCATGATTCAATTTAATGTTTATTGATAAGTGATAAAGTGATATTATATGTGCATCAAATATTTTACATAGACCAATCACATTTTTAAAAGATCTATTCTTTAGTTTTATCTCTTCTCACCATACCATCATTCATATAGGAAAATGCACTATGCCTTGCCTCCACCAATTGTGATGTGTTTAGTTAAGAGTGATAACCTGGAAAGGGGTAATCAGACCTGAGTTCAAATGGTAATTCTGTTGCCTACTAATTAAACTAACTTTATAAAAATTTCAGTTCTCATTTTCATTTATCTACAACACTGTGATAACATCAGAAGTGTTCTTTTGATAACTAAATGAAATGTCATTATATGATTAGTAGAGCATCTGACATAGACAAAGAACCCCAAAAATGTACCCTTTACTTTCCTAACTCTCCTTATTTTATATAAGAACTCATCTTAGGCCTATGGATGAAAAAACTAATCAGGATGAAGGGTAAATTATAGATAGAGTCAAGGAGAGGGAACTTTTTTTTCTGGAGGACCATGATTTTTCTGGAGGACCATTATCTAGAACAGACAGCAATCAACAATTTTAGTTTCATCATCAATACACTTGTAAAATAATTTATTGGATTCCCAGAACAACAAAGGCAAATTTTCATAGAAAAGGAAGTTCTTTTTACAGCAATAAAAGGTTTTCCATAATCATATAATAACCAAAATTTATAATTAAACATCACTACACACTCATGTATCTAATTTGATCTCAGAAAGTCTTGGAAAGTAAGTAGACTTGGCATCCCCCCACCCCAATTACCCAGATAAGAAAACAGAGCATCAAAGAGTTAATTGCTTAACTATTGCTGATGACAGATTATATGTATGTATTATTGTTATTGATGATGATGATGATGTGGTAGTTTTTAGCTGTGTGATCTCCCCATATGCTCCAGGACTCCTCACTATGAGAGGGGAAGTTGGGTGAAGCCAAGACTCAAACTTAGATTCTCTCTGTGTATATAATTCTTTCTACCATAAACATAATTTTAATGAGTTGTATCAAGATACAGTTATAGGCAGATAGTACAAAATTGGATTAGTGTTTTAGTTGAAAAAAAATTAAGCTTTGAGAGCAAGTTTCTTGAACCAATCAGAGACCCTCAATTTTTATGGAAGTACTTTCATAGTTAATATGGCAGGCAAAAAAGGATAGTGGATAGTTAATTAATTCAGAATTTCTCTTGATTCTCTCACTAGATAAGAGAGCTTGGATCAATGAGTTGACTTATCTGGCCCTTTATAAATGAGGATATTAGAGGAAGTAATGTCTGTAAAATGAACATAGTACACCAGATAGATATATTTTTTTCTTAACTCCATGATACTATTACACACACACACACACACATACACACACACACACACACACACACACACACACACACACACACACACTCCTCTACTTTTTGGAAGGCAGCTATGTTGACCACTATACCACCAATGCTACTTTTTGATTATAAGAACTTGTTACTTCAAAGGGAGAAGAGTTTGACTAATAGAAAGTCGTGAGGGGCATTTGCAAATAATATTTATTTACTAGTGAATCACAGAATACTTTCCTAGTTAAAATCTATTTTCTCTTAGGACACTTCTGAAAACTTCTTGTTCTATTTGGTATATCAGGAAAGAGAGATTGTTAATAATAATCATGCTTTGAGTGAGAACATCAACTCCCAGTAGTATTTAGAGAGGTTTAGCAGATCTAAGATAATGTGAATAGTTTCTGAGAAGCATGCCTGAGCATCTGAATGTTTTTTTAATGCATCCTCTTGGTTATTATTATTATCCAGTGTACTAATTCAGTCTATAGAGAACTGACCCTTAGAGTACTTGAAAGTACCACTGAGTTTTCAGTCATCCAGAGGAAAATTACTATTTTAAAATTTTCAGTGGTCTTTTCCTTATTTTTCTTATCTTTCTTAAGCACAAAAACTTTTGTGAAATATGAGTGCAATGTAACTCTAAAGATAATTTGTAAAATTCTAATCAATCACCAAATTGTTCTTCAGCTATGGGCTTTGAGGCAAAATTGTAGGTTTGTATGGTTTTCCTATGCTAAAAAATTTCAATTAATAAGGCTTGATTTAAATACAAATTGTACAAACTTATTATTCATGAGCTTGCAACACAGGCACTTATTCTATAAAGTCAAGAAAAATAGTCACTACATTATCCAATGTCTTCACTTTATATCATACTTTACGTTATGTACTGACACACTTAAGTCATGAACTCCTTGGAAGATGAGACCTATATTAAGATACTTATAATGTTTTGACAATATTATTGTAATTTAGAGTATTTCTCTTTGTAAATATTTTATAAAATCATTAAGGCATAAACTGTGCCTTTTAAATTTGGGCTAGAGTTAGTCATTTTTCCTTACAGTTATTTGTGAGTCGTTTAGCACGTCCTTGTTAAATGAAATACAAAGGCTAAAAAGAAGAACTACCACAAAGCACAAACACACCAAGAAAATGCATGATTTCTTCCTTGGAAATATATATGTTATTTTCCCTAGGATTATTCCAAATGAGCAAAGACCTCATTACTTGAATTGATTCTCTCCAAAGGATGCCATACTAAATCCTATTTCAATATAATTATGAAAAGTACAATTCAAATCAAGCAAGTTATATAAGTCACACCTGAATAAAAAACAAAATCACTTAAGGATAGATCAGAAAAACAGCCATTATTGGCTCTTCACAGTGAAATTATAAGATGACTAAAAAATTGTGAGGGGGTATGGTAAATATTACCTGGTTTTTGTATGAAGAATGTAAACAAATATCTATGACTCATTTAAATGATCAATGATCATTTAAAAATTCAACCTGGAAGTGAATTTGCAAACTCATTTCAAGACAATTATGGCATTAAAGTGATATAACATGGTTCATCAACATGGACTTTTCCACCTTTATTATTTTTTATATTCATGTATTTAAAATTTATAATTGTTTGTACCTAGGAAATCATAATGTTACCAATTCTAACATAAGAAATGGTATCAAAAATATTAACTTTGTTTCACAGAAACATATTTAGGAAAGAAATTATTACTATCGATTAATAGCTATGTAAAGAAAAACATGCTGTAGTTAAGTTGTGAGGAGATTATAAAGAAATGTACTAATGAGATTATAGTACAGATTTAAAGCCTACAGATGGTTGCCATTTTTCTTGGTAATTCTAATTTAATGACTATAAACAAAACAAGCATCTTGATTCTGTTTCAGATTTTTTTCAAAATGAATAAATTTTCTAGCACACACATAGGATGGGAGACACTTTGATGAAATTTTACTTAATTTTTTCTTCTTTAGAATTTAAAATGATATGATGCTAGTCAGAAGATATGGTGGAATCAGCATAAACATTTCTGTCACATGGATGTATCACAAGAATTACCTTGCCCTCTTATTTAAGAGGATTATAGGATAAATTATTTTCAGTTTACTCCATTAAATTGGGATTTAGTTTTAGAAGACTCCATTTGCTTACTATATTAATCTCTTATCTTAGAAAATAGAAAGGTGAAAGTTTCTGTAAAAGAAATTCGAAAGATCCTCTGATTTTATAGAATGTTATAGGTATAGATGTGGAGAACGTAATAGTCTTGTATGATGAAAGTACTTACTGTTCTGTTAGGAATTCTGGGGTATTTTGTCCTTTCAGATTCTTTTTCTCTAAAAGGAAAATAACATATGCACTCATTAGTTGACTACATAGTTCAGTGTCATTTCAGATTGTCATAATTATAACTGATTAATTTTATTATGTAGTATTTCTACTTAGAAATCTTTATGTATATATATGTATATATATACACAATACAATATAATGTTATGTATATTTAGTATATATAGTATATGATAAGTACATACGATTTTAAAGTTGGTTTCAAGTGTTAGAGATTAAGATTCTGTGAGTAGTTTATACACTCATTTTTGTGATAAGTTAATTATGCTTCTGGTATAGTTTTTCAACTTAAAAAATGAAATAATACTAATCTAGGTAGACATTTTAGAGAATATTACATTATTAAAAAGAATCATATAAAAATTATATAATTATTACCCAATTAAGCGCATGGTGCTATGTTTAGTATTGATATGATTACAGTTCACCCTTGAACAATGTGGGGATGAAGGGCACTGACACCCCCCCTTACAATCAGAAATCCTTGTATGCCCTCCAACTCTCACCAAACTTGACTAACAGCCTACTGTTGACCAGAAGCCTTCCCGATAACATCAACAGTCGATTTTGTATATTATATACTGCATTCTTAGAATAAAGTAAGCTAGAGAAAAGAAATGTTAAGAAAATACATTGACAGTACAATACAGTAGTGTATATATATATTTAAAAAATTCACAGATTAAAATGGACCCATACAGTTCAAACCCATGGTGTTCAAGGGGTCAAGTGTGTGTGTGTGTGTGTGTGTGTGTGTGTGTGTGTATCCCTCATCAGGGATAAAGAGAAAAATAATCTCATATCACTGTGTTAAAAAAAAAGGTACAACTTTTAGTTTAGGGAGTAAGAAAAAAAAAATCCTTCCCGAGTCAATAGCAGGAATTGCTGTAATGTAATAAAGATGTCAAGAATTTCTGATTTTTTTTTGACAAGTTAGCAGCTCACAAATGAAAAAATTTTGTAGCGCTAGAGACAAGTACCTTTTTATATAAGTTCTCATCCGTTTTAGTCTTCAAAAAATTTAGGTACAATGAAAACCAAGAAAGAATGAAATAATTAGAAATAGGTTCATGATAGGCATGTTATTCTGTTTTTAAGAGTTCTTACAGTGTCCAGTTTCAGCAGAACAACACAGATACAATGCTAGCAGCTCTGGCAATTGGCACATATGGGTACTCAGCATAAAAGATCTGAAGTGACAGCTATATTTCCAAAGCTGCATTTACTGCATCTGTTCAATGCTTAAGCCTCCAAGGTCTGCTTTCATTTTATTTCTGCTTGAAACTCAACCGTTTTCTAGTAAAAGCCATTAGAAAGAACATTGTAAAAATGCATTTAGATCTGCCCGACTGACTCTTAAAATACGACTTTGAGCCACAATCAATTTTAGAATAAGATTTTTATATATAGTTTCTGTCTACTGACACTTTTCTTACTAAAACAAAAACTACAACCAAATTCAATGAGTGCACATGCTAAGGAACCAGAGTGACATAGAGCTCTTGGGGGCGAGGGCACCTGCTGCAATAAATGAAGGTTTTCTACCACAAAACTAAGAATATTTGACATTGTATGTATTGTACACTAAGACTTACCAAGGGGTTGGCTTCCCCTTGGGGAACGATTAAACAGTTTTTGTGACTTATGAGCCATCTGCAGGGATTTCATTTCATTTTGGACTTGCACGCACATCTATCACAAGGATGGATGGGCAAGCCTGGTCTACGGTAGGGGACAAACAACTATTTTACTTTTAATCTCTGCACTGAATGTGGATGTGCATCGTATTTTTCTGGTAGTTAATTTCTGTCTCTTGCATGTATAAACATCTCTATTTTAGAAGAAAAAAGTGAAAATAGCACAGGATGGTTTTGCACTTTCTGCAAACTATCTGGCTTTTCAGTAACGTAATTGGTATCAGTAGGTCTGATTCAGACAGTTTCCTGGTATTGAAACTTGGTACTTTGATGTGTTTATATGATACTTCAAAAAAAAGATGAATCTTTTTAGGTAGGTTTATGTATTTTTCACAAAACAGTATGAGCATTCATAGTCAATAAATCTGATGACACTTTCATGATTTTTAATCCAGTTTTAGAAGCAGGCCTGACATGGAGAAAAAAGAAAATAACTGAGACCTAGGGATTACTTTTGCTTGACGACAGCTAGAAATTAGACCGCTGTACCTTGAGGCCCTAATCATAATTCTATTTACAGAATTAAGCAAAACACTGTATGCTTTAGGCATAAATACTACAAATCCTTGTTTTGTGGGAGGAGGGCACTATTTCTATTCATTTTTATGTTCAATATTTAAAAATGCACCGTTATATTTTTTTTCAAAAGGATTCAGTTTGAGGAATGACAAATAGCTGATGTTTATATCCAAACTTTGTTTAAAATATCTCAAATATTTCATTTTGATGAAAATATTGGTTTGAATGGAGCTATCACTAACCTAAATATTTATTTAGGGTTAGATTTAAAGTATGTGCTGTGAATCCTTGCAAAATGGCCATTTGTAAACGTTATGCCTTTGCCCCAGGTCAACTGGAATGGCATCAAAATCTCTAAACTGCAAATTATGGATAAACTCGGAGTTCTTTTCCTTGGACTTCTTCCTACTGAAATGCCAAAACTTGTGGTTAGAAAATAGTTACAAAGTTGATGTGTCATTTCCTCAACACAGATATCACTAATCCTAAGGGATTTTGTTAGACATCTTTTGGCTTAAATTCTTATTCTTGGAACAGCAGCCAGGAAGCAGAGATTATTTTAAAAAGAAACATGATCCAGGTCATTAGTGACTGAGTTTAAGATTTTAAACACTAAAATAAAACATTGCATGACACTTAAATATGTCACGTGATTCTAGATCAGATCCTGGTCCAATAGGACAAAAATGATTAGCTATTAAGAACATTAATGTTGGGGTGCCTGGTTGGCTCAGTGGGTTAAAGCCTCTGCCTTTGGCTCAGGTCATGGTCTCAGGGTCCTGGAATCAAACCCCACATCCAGCTCTCTGCTCAGCGGGGAGACTGCTTCCCCCTCCCTCTCTGCCTGCCTTTCTGCCTACTTGTGATCTCTCTCTCTGTCAAATAAATAAATAAAATCTTTAAAAAAAAAAAGAACATTAATGTTATAACAGATGAAATTTGACAAGGGCCTATGAATTAGATCATGCGTTTGATAACTGTTCTGTGTAAAAAAAAATGTCCTGTTCTTAGGAATTATACTGAAATATACACTAAAATACTGGGATAAATCATACCAGGTCTCCAACTAATCCTAAATAGTTAGGAAAAATATATGAACTGTGTATATATACACACATATATAGTATTATAGTATAGATACAATATATAGAATATACACAATAATATAGACAGAGAAAATGATATAGAACAAAATCTTAGCAGTTGGTTAACCTAGGTAAAGGACATATAAGAACTTCTTATACTATCCTTGGAACTTTTTTGAGAGTTTTAATGAAAGAGAAAAACGATCATTATCAAAAAGATTATAAAACTACCTTTAGAAAATAGAAATAAAGTGCCACTTTTCAGTATCTTTACAAAATATTTCACTGAACTGTGGCTATGTTATTTTGTTGATTAAGCACAAGATTGTCTCATTTTGCATGTAACTATAAAAGATAGTGACATTTATCTGGAAAACCGTATTAGGCAATAAAAGAAAATTAATGCATCAATTAATAAAGTAAACAAATGAGTGTTCTGCAAATAAAGGCAGTCACTATTAGTACCTATGGTGCTGCTGGTAGGAATGGTAGGAAGGCAATAATACAGAATATGAACTTTTCTTGAAAGAAAAGTAGAAGGACAAAATGTTTTGCCCCACACTGAGGACAAAGGAATATTCCTATATTTTCTTTTTTGTGTTGAACCATTGAAATCCATTTAGGAGGCTTAATTTGACAAGCCTGTCCTCATTATGATAGAAACAAATGTTTACCAACAGAGATTGGAAAAGGGGGACAGGGATGAAGGGTCTACTCATTTTCTGTTGTGACACTTTATTACACAAGTCGAAACATATGAAAACATTTGTTCGCAGTCAGTTACAATAATGACATACTGGGTTCAACCATGTTTAACATTTTCATTATATTCAAAATAATTATTTGAGAATGGGGGGCTGATAATGAGGCAGAATGTCTCTAAGTCAGGAGAGCCAGTTTGTATCTTGAAAATGAGGATGGGAATTAATTAAATGAGAAGCTTGGGGAAGTTAATTGGGAATGAGTAAAGATAAGGACACTATCAAAGCATGAAGAAATAAAACTATTAAAATAAAAGGTAGAGCAGAAACTCACCGCACACCTAAGGAAGAATGAATCTTACAGAATCAGGAGTGTACAGGAGCAGAATATTGGCTTCCAACCCCTAGAATAGTGCTTGCCACATGAATAAATGTTTGCTGAATGAATAATTATATATTGACAAAAGTAAAATTTAGTGTCCTATAATCCTAGTCTGTTTCTGCCTCTATCTAATGTGTGACTTTAGACATTTCACTTAATCTAATTTTATCAGCTGTGAAATGAGACAATGGAAAAAGGTAATTCTCCAAGGTGCCTTCCAGATCTAAATATTTCTGTATATGGTTCTGTTTATTAAAATGGGCAACTGTGAACATTTTCGTAGAAGAGAATAGCCTTATATGAGTTTTAAATGAAGAGAAATGGAGAGAAATAGAGAAGATGAATGAAAGAGCAATGCATTGATTCAAGTAATGGAAAATAAATCCCACTGAAAGAGACTTTAATATAGAAGAGAGAATGCAAGTGATTTATGGTTTTGATGTTAGAAGTGACATTTATGTGTACTATTGATACAGGCATGCAGATGTAGAGAACTTTATCTGTTCTTTTTGTTATTATCAAAGTGATTGTACACACTCCCTTCTTCCACCTTGAAAGTCCTCAAGTAAAACAGAAGTGGAGAGCATTCAAAAGAAGCCATAA